GAACTCCAAAGCTAAAACAAAAGTTGAATCAAGTCCAGAAATATAGTCAGATGTTGTTGAAGTTGTGTATGAGATTTTCCATGGAGGAATCAGCAGTAATGATACATATTTTGGGCTATATAAAATTCTGAARTGCTGCCTGTTGTGTTCTTGGCAGCTAAACATTCTAATCTGTGCAGATGAACCAGATCATCATGCATGTTAAAAAGTCCTTCACATATCAGAATCAGCATGAAATTCTGTGTACAGGATGAGTGTTTGAKAAAAGCTCACCTCAAAGTCCTTGACACCAGTAATCATTTTCTTTCTGTACCACAGTCCTATGCTAGACTGAAAGCTCTTCCAGAAACACAGAAAGCACTGGGAGGGTAATGCCTGTGTTAGAWACATCTGAAATAAATAACAGAAATGGCCTCCTTTGGGCTGTCCTCTTGTGTGTTTTTAAATGGTTTGTGCTTCCTCTTTCAGTAACTCTCAGTGTTCYTGTTCTGTTCCAGGGAAATCTGGGCTCGCTTTTTAGCTTTTGAAAGTAACATTGGGGATCTGGCCAGCATACTCAAAGTGGAAAAAAGGAGGTTTACAGCATTCAAGGAAGAATATGAGGGCAAAGAAACAGCTCTGCTGGTGGACAGGTACAAGTTCATGGATCTGTACCCTTGCTCWGCCAGCGAACTGAAGGCCCTTGGGTATAAGGTAAGAACACTTCAGTTCACTGCTGTTCTTTTCAGTCCTAGGAGATTTGAGCAATCCCTTGTTTAGGACTTGCCTGACAGTCCTTCCCCTTGATGGAAAAGCAGGTAGAACAGGCCTCCTCCTCCTCCTCCTGGTGTCATTGGGCAGCAAAGTGCCAGGGGCCAAGGGCAGAAGGGAGCAAGGAATGTCACTAACATATGTGACTTCAGGTGTTCCTGTTTCCCTTCCATCTTCCCAGGAAAGGCCAATGTGTTAATGCCATCACCACACAGCCAAAGGTCTCCACTTCACACTTCTGCCCGAGCTCCTTCAAAAAACAAAACCTTCTGGAAGTCTGTAGGATCAGGTCATCTGTATCAGGGCTGACTCCTTTTGCTTGGAGCATGCCAAAATATAATCCTGTTTGTAGTGATGCTTTGCATGCCTGCTGATTGCCTTATGCTTGATTTCTTTTCCAGCTAGAGCAATCTAGAGAATGAAATGAGGGAGAAATTATAGTTGTGAAGGCCTAATGGTCTGCACCTGTTCACCTAAATCCTTTTAACCTAAAAAAGGAGCCACTCGAAAATGATGAATACAGTCCCATTCAGTAACAAAAACAAGTGTTTCCACTCCCAGCTGGGACACTGTGGGATTAAAATGTTTGATGAAACCATGCAAGTTTTGCCCAGATGGTCTTGTGAGAGGACATCTGAAATTATAATAATGACAAAGTGAGAGTAAGGGACTGGTCTAGAGTGAGGTTTTGTTCTGTAATTGAAGCAAGCAGTGTGATCCTGCCAAGCTGAGCACTCTCTAATTGSTTTTCACAGGATGTCTCCCGTGCCAAGCTAGCAGCAATAATTCCAGACCCTGTGGTTGCACCTTCCATCGTGCCTGTTCTCAAGGATGAAGTAGACAGRAAACCTGAATATCCCAAACCAGACACTCAGCAGATGATTCCATTTCAGCCAAGGCACTTAGCACGTAAGTCAGGCTTTGGGAAGCAGTTGTGTTTCACCTGTGGCAAGTTAGGAACCTGTGTGTTCAGCCAGGCTTTCCTCCTCCTCAGTCATCCAAACATGTACTTAACTTGYAGGCTGTCATTTCACTGGGTTGCTAAAGGCATAAATGCTCTAATTAATGCCAAGGTCACATGGAAATAAGTACAAGGAGTTTGGGGTCTGGTAAATGGTAATAAGCTGTTGCACACACTGCTCATGGAGCAGATCACTGGGTGAACAATGTGTAATTAGTAGAGGCAGAGGGACAGGGTGGTAATTACTTGTATCAAATAACAAAGCARTGCAGAAGCAGCTCTGGTCCAGCTGTCTTGCACTGGCTTATAGAGCTTTTCTCCCYACAGCTCCAGGTTTACATCCTGTCCCGGGCGGGGTATTTCCTGTTCCACCAGCAGCTGTAGTTCTCATGAAGCTCCTGCCACCTCCTATTTGTTTTCAGGTTTGTTTTAATGAATTCTGAACATTTCAGAAAGCTGTGGAAGACATTCTGTCATGACAGAGCCACAGTGTGTTTCACTCTATTGAAAATAACCTTCTAAACTTGTTTTTTTTTTGGTTTTTTTTGGAAACAACTCAGGGTCCCTTTGTTCAAGTGGATGAGCTCATGGAGATATTCAGAAGATGCAAACTGCCAGACAGTAAGTCACTTGTCCTCTCTGATAGTGCTGCATTAAGACTTGGGTTTACATATGGATATTACTGTCTAAAASCCAGATCTCATTTACAGATTGTAATTAGTGTTTAAGAGCAGAAGAGATTGGGCTGCAATCTGCATAGAGATGTTTGTACATTCACCTGGGGGGAGATAACAAAAAGTCAAAAAACTGAGAATCACCAGCTGCTCCTTTAACAAGATGTTGGTGGTATCCATTGAAAGAAATGAAGGGTTTGAAAATACCCTTTAAAAGCAACAARGCAGCATTTCCAGCAGCATTGCTGCTATAATATGAAATTACAGATTCACAGGATGGTGAGGTCATTGGTGGGCATAACTGAGTGCACACTGTGTCAGTGCTCCCTGAGCTCCTGCAAAGAACAGTTCTGGAACAAATAGCACAGATCCATACCACAGGCTGTGAACTACAGCAGATGACAATATGCTACTATTCACCCCACTTGTCAGTTTAAGGAAAAAATGATCATAGAGAAAGAAATCCAGGATTTAATTTCTTTGAGTGAAACTAAAATATCTATTTCAATTAWACACAGCATTTTTGAGGCTTCCTCTATTGAGAAGCAGAAACTGGCTTTCTCTGCAGACTTTCTGGTGAATCATGAACTAGTTATCCTGATTCCCAAAAGGTCTTCCTGYTTTATTGAAGCTTGCAACTGAAGGAAGGGATTTGAGGAAGTGCTCAAGCTGAAGCAGAAGCATTTCCTTAATAATTGGTGCTCACCACAGCTCAGTTTTAGACAGTCAGGACTTAATATTTGTAGGAAAAGTGTAGGGTAGGAAAAGTCTTATTTCCCAGCGCTCTCCCTGAGGTGGCTGTCTGGGTGTCCCTGCTGGTGTGCAGATTGCTAATCAGGGCTTGAGTTTCACAAACTGAATGGAATGTCTCTCTCTGAAGCTGTTGATGAAGCYGTACGGATAATCACGGGAGGCCTGCCTGAGATAGCTGTGGAAGGCAATGGACCTGTGGAAAACAACACCATTCTCAACAAGGCTGTGAAGAGATCACATGAGGATTCTGATGATGATGAGGAAAAAGGATCTGTAGTTCCCCCTGTACATGACATTTACAGAGCACGACAGCAAAAGAGAATCCGGTGAAACAAGTTTGGAGTTCTGCTGTGACAGACAAAGACTTGCATTGAATCAGTCTCTTAAAAGTCAAGCATTCAAAAGGGACAGCTGCAAACAAAAAAATCCTTGAAAATGGTTTTGTTACTGTGGTGCCTCTTCTCCCATATGGTTCTTGATCTGAAAACCRCCCGAACAACCTTAGAATGTGCTCTGAACAAAACTAGGTTTTCAAAACCGAAAGTGCAAAATGTCAAAACTGTATTTTGTTCTTCGAGGGTGTACACATCTACCACTTGAAATCTTGTGGGTTTTCAACAGTTTTATTTTAAAAACTGGATGGCTTATATTTGTGAAGCATTTTTAATTCACATTTTCTGGAAAACAGTTGTTCTCAGTTTGTTCATGTAGTGTCCTGCCTTATTGTTCATTTTTATTTATGGCAGAATGTAAGGAATCTGTTTTGTAGTTGAAAATTTAAAAAAAAAAAAAAACAACAAAAAAACATTCCTTTAAAATAAAAGGATATCCATAACATCATGCCTCATTCTGGTTTTATTCAAACACAACAAGGTACTTCTTAAATATTACTCAGCCACTTCAAAAGCAATGCTAATTATACCGTCACAGGAAATTCATCAGAGCATACATATTAGAATGAGCTTGGTTTCCATTTTCTAGAGGATACARCACACTTTGGCTTGTAATTCCAAGACTGTTTGAAGAAGAGAGCATTGTAAGAAAGACCAACTCAGTTCATGTTTCARATGTGGGTTGTTTGGGAGCAGTGGCTCACACAGTCTGCTCCTGGATACCTGCACTGGTCTTCCAGTAATGCACAAAGCTAAATGTTAATAATCACCTACATTGTTGCACTTGTTATCTTCAAAGCTAAAAAATACACTATGTGAGCTTTCCAAGCAGTTTCCATGCAAACTTCGGCTTTTAACTTGGAATTGGCTGTTCAGAATTGCACTCTGATAAGATCCTAAGAACCCCTTAACTCCAGGACCATCAGAGCCTTTGGCAAATGAAAGACATTGCCAGCCCAGCAGAGCTGCCAGTGGGTAAGGGCTCCTCTCTTCCAGGGCAAGAGGGAGGGGTTGGCCTCAGCCATCCTGGATTGTCTTGCTTTTCCACTCCCTGTCCCTTTGGAATCTCCCTATTTCTTTTAAAGAGGATGTAGAGAAACTGTTTGTCAAACACTCTCATTTAAAAAAAAAAAACAAAAAAAACCAACCTGGGAGAATCACTACCGTGCTTTGTGGTCATTTATTGGAGTCCGTTCCTGTTGAAAGGCCCACAGCACCCAGCCAGAGGCATTTTTGTGCTGTATGTGCCCCAGAGGTCAGACTGCAGCCACAGGTGGGTATTGCACTCTGATTTTTCTTCTAMATGAAACCTTAGGCTCAAACCCCCTGGTGATTTTGTGTCCAGACCCCGTGAGCCATACAGGCACTGGTGGCAGCAGCCATCTCCTCGATTACAATTTTATCTACTGACAAAGCAGTTCCCTGCTCTCTGTCATCACCCACCTTTCAAAGGCTTTTCTAAGTACCTGTCATCCCATGAAGTTCCTCCCCTCATCCTCAAGATCATCCTGTACCCATCTAACTTTAGAACTCTGCACTTACCTCTAMAGGCAGCTCCTAGGTGATACTAAAAGATAAAATAACAGCAGCAATTTCTAACTTGTGCAGCTCTCATTTAACAAAACTGAAAACAGCTGTGTCTTGGTTATTTCTCTTGTTCCTAGCTCCAGCAGTAATGGCTCTTGGTTCAACACACACTGCTGAGGGGGTTTTTGCTCTAAAGCAAAGCCCAGGAAGCAGAGGCAGCAGCCTTGAAGACCCCAGTAGTATCCTTTGCTGATCCAAAAAAGGAAACAGACCCTACTCAGAACCCTTTTTTTCTGGCTAACCAACCTACTCAGTTTTGAGTTATCAAAGAAGGATTCAAAGATAGACATTCATTTTACTGGCTGAGTACATTTGGCCAAGAGAAAAATCACTTGTCTGAGCTGATGAACCCTCACAGAGTTTTGYAGGTTTTTCCCTTGGGGAAGGGGGTTTGTAATGAATGAAACAAGATTTAGTTTAGAATTGCATAGGCTAATATAGAGAAAAGATCTTATTTATTCTATCCCCTTCCAAACACAAAGGTGGTGCAGCTTTATCCCYACTGACATTCAAAGGAAAACTGGAAAGGGAAGCATCAACAGTGGTTCATAATCAAATGCTTCTGGAAGTTGTCACTTTGGTTGATTCCTAAATTAACCTGGCTGTTGGCAATAAAAGGGGCCCTTTATTTATTTTACATACCTTGTTGGTTTTTTTTTTTTAAAGACAGCACATTCTGGTCTGGACCATSTCATACTTGGGCCACTTACTGTGTATAGCTGCAAACTTTGCTTTCATAAAACCATCAAATATTGATTACTGCAATACACTGTTGTGCTCAACTAGAGGAAAACATTCAGATGCTGTTACCTCCCAGCTGAGCCTGAAACTGCAATGTAACATCACTGAGCTCTTCTCATCTATACAACATGGAGCTAATTAAATTCAAGGCCTACAAATACTCTAAGTTTCAAGAACATCTCTACCAAGTGAAAAAATYTACTAAAATATTCCCTATATATTCAAACTAACATCAAACCATTCACCTCTCACAATACATTAAAATCACTTATACTGCCCACARTGCTCTGCACTTCCTGGATATTTTTGAAGACATGATTGAATATGCAACCATCTCCTGTTGTAGTTTTTAAAAAACCCAAAATCTTCAAACTAAAGTTTCACATGCTTTAAATCCACCTTCTGGAAGTGACAATTTACTTTAAAATCAGTATTTCACCTAAAAAGGAGTAAACTACTAGCAAAAAAAAGGTAAGAAATGCCACTTTTATCAAAACATTTTAGCTCTGCCCTTCTGAAATCTTTACAAGATATAAATACAGCTGCAATCTATAAGATTGCCACCTTTGTGAGTACTGTACATAGCAGAGGACAGTTACCCAATAACCAGAAAATTTGCTACAAAAATATATTATGTTTTGTAACATCTGCAGGCAAACAGCAAAAAAATGCTATTAAAAATGCAGTAAAATGCAGAAAAAACTAGTAAGCCTACCATACTAACCATAATGTTACAGTAAAGTGCTGTTCGGATTGGTGTTTTGTCAAAGTTCTTCTCTAGAATTTAAGCTGTATTACTTCTTTAAACTAAGATTTTTATAAAAACCAAATCACCCCTTCTGGGAAGAACCATTGCTAATCAGCTCTGGATAAATTAAACTAAATTCACTGTAAATTAAGAGTTAAATGCCCTAAAATGAGCCACTTAAATATAAAGTTTGGTTCTTACACTTGCTCTACTTATCAGCAGCTCAAAAATCTAAAAATTGCAGCCAGAAAACGACCACAATATCCCCCGCCAGGTTGCATAATTATATTAGAAATGCATCTCTCTTACCTCTTTTTGCATCTCATGTATTTCCCTCATCAATCACCACTGGTGGGTTATAAGGAACCAGTATTTACACGGAGAGCTGTTTTCCTAGACAAATATTGGTACAATTTTTTATTTAATAGCTGACAATACTGTATTGGTAGCACACAGACTGGTTTTATGATTCTTCTGACTTCCCTATGATTTGRGATTCTTCCTTAGTCAGTATTTTGCCAAGGACTGCATCATAGTAAGGGCTGAAGACCATTTTGTTGTAGTTGACCAGACGAACATATTTGGCAGTGACCTCTTCCAGCTCCCTCTGAATAGGGCCTAATCCTCCAGGAAYAGCAGGCAATGATTTCTGGTGACTGGATGCAAGGTAATTCTCCAGAAACTTTTGAATTCGAGAATCTGGAAGAAATGGGTTTGGTTTGTTTTCAGTGTAACCTCGTGTAAAATGCAACAAGGCTGGGAATGGTCACCAAGGTGGAAAGACAAGATGGAAACAACATGGAAAGAGAAGCTCTGCACATCACCCACCCTCAGCCACACAGACAGGGGAGAGCAGAGCACTCTGCCAGCCCTACCTATCAGCTTGCATATGGAGTTATCTGGGCTGGCCACTGCCTGGATCTGTCCCTTCAGCACTGCTTCTTTCTCAGCTGAGAATGGGGTAAAGCCGTGCTGGGAAAGGCAGCTGTTCATCTCAGCACACACCTTCTCACCCACGGTGGCCAGGGATTCCTTCATGTTAAAGGAGCTAGAAAACATGAGGTACAGCACAATTGTATTAGTAACTTAAATTTTCTCCCACCTTTTAAAAAGAAACCATTCAATTAGAGTTGTCTTAATTATCAAATGTAATGGRAAAAGCATAATGCAGATAAAGCCAGAATTATAAATAATTCAWTTTAGAGATACATGAGAAATAAAGCTGTGATCTAAAGCAAGGAAGCAGTAGAGCATTAAAGACTTCCAGCCTGAACAACCCATACATGTAAGAGCTGACTTTCTACCTGAGGACAACTCTGATTAAAGCAAAACCAGTTACCAACYCATATGTGTAGAGCAATCACTAAAGCTGCAGCAGCTCACTGTGCCACACTYGGGTTCTTGGAGAGCAGGGTTAGCTCAGCAGGGGCAGCTGCTGGCCCTCTCCTGTGCCAGCCTGGCACCATAAAAAACACTCTGCTCTGAAAAAAAGCAGTGTGTGTACAAATCACAAAAAARCAGAGCAAGAATAGCCAGCTCTGGGTGAGCAAGCTGAATAAAAACTGTCAGCCTGGGCTCACAGAAAGCCTCACCACCTCCTCTGCAYATCCTGCAGCCAGAAAGAGGCTTAAATTGATCCCTCACCAGGGTGAAACAAGAGCCACACCTGCCCTGTGAGCAGAACTGTCCCATACTCACGGAAGATGCATTCCTGTCAGCAGCACCTTGACRATAGTTTTGATTTTCTCAGCGAATCCAGGCACATCAATGAGTGCTGGGCCTGCTGCACTGAAGGTGACCAGCAGCACTGTCCCAACCAAAAGGAGCTGCTCCAGCTCCAGCTGGATTTCCAGGAAGCGTGTCTGGTCCATGAGCACCGTCTGCAAGGAGGGAGGAAGSCAGCACAGAATGGAGTCAGTTTGCRGGCTGGGAAGGGACACTGGGATGCAGCASCAAAGGCAGGACAAAGGCACAGGGAACAGCAGGCCAGGAGCACAATGAAAAACATTGACTCCTGTTTTCCAACTACTGAAAGACAAGTACCCCTTATAAGAGCTCCCAAGCAGAGATCAATGGTTTAGTATTATCGCCTCTGCAATATCCTGGAAATAGAACAGTGGAACAAGCACAGAATCAATTTTTCTGTTAAACACCTACTTCTGGAAAAGGCCTGTTCACATGATCCCATTTTAGGAGCTTCAGATAGGCCTGGTTTTGTACAGCAGTGAAGCACAAGGTGGAAGCTCCACCAGTGGCACCATCACTGCAGCGGGGAGGCAACGGTTCATGTCCCAGCTTTGCAAGATCATCAGCTGCTTCTTGCAACCACTTTGTGGCAAGGTCTAAAGAATCTGGAACAGCAGGGGAAAAAAATCTTGTTAAGAAAATTCCTTTTCAAAGGTTAGTTTTTTCCACCAATAATTTCCAAATAATCCCATTAGTTACTATGACTAATGGACTAATGCCCATGATATCAGGTATGACATGCATTTCATTTATTGCATCAAGCAGAACATCTAAAACAAAACCACACAGCTACAGAAATTAGAGGTGAGATGATGCTGGATAATCATGCCCTACACTGCATTGAAATTAAACTGAATGTACCAAGGGCAGAACTATTGTTCTGGCTGATTTTTTCTAACCACAGTTTTGGGGGACCAGCTGTCATTTATCATATGAATTCTAGAACTTATAAATATATCTGATTTCTTTTCATGATTACAAGCAAAGACACGCAGTATACTGGGAGGTCAGAGGGGAAGAAAGAAAGGAACAAAGTCATACTTGGCTGTTTCTCAAGAAACTCCTGAAACTTCTTTCTTTCATATTCAGCAGACTGCTGCATTAATTTTGGCCTAATACTACTGACAGCGAAGTTTGCCATATCCATTTTCATTAGGTCTAATACAGAGAAAATTGCTCTAAACAAACAAACAGAAAAAGTTATTCAAGGCTGCAGATGTTTCAGAGTTGCTGTTTACAAGATTTATTACAGATTGTCTAAGGAAAGAGCAAAAACATGCATGGGAAACAGTAACAGGGTGCTTAACAACTTGAGAGCATGAGACAGAGAAAGCTGGAGCAAGCATGTACATGCATGCATGTGCCTCTTCCAAGTAGGAAATAAATCTTGCTTTCCTGTAAAAAAACCTCCATGGAATTAACTTCACCAGCTCCACAGATTTTATCTCTCAGGATATGCAATATTGTATATGAAAAGATATCTGGGCTCCCAAGCTTGCATGCCATGTCTGTTGGCAGCCTGGAAAGCCAACYTCAGTGGGAAGTGAATAATCAGGCCCAAGGGGTAAAAAAAGAAAAAACAAACAAACAAATACCAAAGAAAAACACTTTAATTTCAAAGCAACCTGATTCCTGCTGGCAGTATTTCTGCCAAGTCAATCCTGAACTCCTGGAAGCATTTCAAATTAGAAAACAGCAAGGCTAATGAAGCTTCTCCCAACTATTGAGAYCTTGGAGAGCATGGTGACAAAGCAGAAGCCTGCATGCTCCCAGATGTGGAACACACACTCCCTTAACAACTGACAGAGCATTTCACAGGGAGGTGGGTAAAGAGAGCTCAAACTGGTTGGAAACCAGTAATACTTTTTCCCTTTGCCCCTGTGGGCTTTTTTCACCTTTTGTTGTTGATAYTCAATTCTGATACAAACTGACTATTCATCTGCTACCTTAAGGCTCATTTGCATTTGACATTTAAGCAAATGTCCTTCAGTGACATGCAGGAACCACACAAATACTCCAACTCACCAGAAATACTCCTAGAAAAAAAGGAGTTGCAGATTGTCCCCCCTCCCCCAAATTATTTAAGAGACTCTGAACATGACCAATAAACCTATTTCAGTACCTGAAAAGAGGAACTATTTCATGGATATCTTTCAGTTTCTTAATGTCTTCATCTCGAGCTGGAGCACAGAGAGTCCCCATCATCCCAATAACAAATTTGACCAATTTAGAAATGTCAAGGGCCCCATTCTCTGCCTCCTGTTTTATCAAATCCAGGTCAAGAACCTCTGTAATCTGGCTTCTCAGTCTAGTATGGCCAGGCAACAAAAAGGACAGAAGACTCTGAAATGGAAAGTTTTAAACAGTGCATTAGTTCTACATACCAAAGACTATAAGGATCAAAACAGTTACTGAATTATTTCTTACAGAATTATAGAATCATAGAATGGTTTGGGTCAGAGGAAACATTAATGATCACCCAGCTCCAAATTCCCTGCCATGGCCAATGTTACCTCCCACCAAACCAGTCTGCTTAATGCTCCATCCAGCCTGGCCTTGAACACTTCCAGGGATGGGGCAGATTCTTATCTAAACTAACTGCCCTTTATCAGTTGAATTTATCTTCTTTTTTTTTTAACTAACCACTCACCAACTCTAAAAGTTTCACCTTGTGCTGTGTGATGCTGAAGTTACTAAGTGGTAAATTCTCTGTGGCACAGATCACATTTCAGACTTGTGCTTGGTTTATCAGTGCTGGAGCATCTCACTGATTCCATAACTAATACCAGTTCCATAACATGAAGGAAGCTTAGAATTATGGAAGCAGYATTGCTTACCTTTTAATCACCTCACATGATTTTGCATTTGATTTTAAATTCAAATTTCTCCTCCAGGATTATACAGTTTACAGACAGTGATACAATAATGAAAAAGAACAAGAGAATCTTTAATGAAAAGCCAAACTTAACCACTTTTGCTCATTCATGTCAGTGCAGCCACTCAAATGCAATAATTTCCCTTGATATCAAATATCTTACCTCTTTAATTTCTCCCAATAGCTTAATTGCATGATCATATGTCGGGGGGTCTTCCTTTAGCTGAGCTTCCAGACAATCCCAGAAAGCTTTATGGACAATATCTCTGACTTTCTTTTCTAAGCTGTGAATAAACATGTTAAAAAGAATGATACTTGTCTCTGCACCACCTTACAAAGATAACCTGCAGCTCCTGAAGCACAGCATGTAATAATATGAATATAATGTAATAATAACTATATGACAGTTAACAGAGATCTATGATTTTAAGCTACTGAGAAAAGCAAGAAAAACAACACAAGATTTGGAATGGCTTATATCCTAATAAAGGGTCACACACAGGCAAAAGTGGCTACAAATTAAAATCCTTCAAAGTATTTATCATATGCCACATCTAAACACCTGGAAGAAAAAGAATAAATCACAAAAATTACAGTTTGTCTTCAAAAGGCCAGTATTCATGTTCCTTTTAATCCCTGCTAAGAAAAATCAATTCCACTACATGAATTTCGTTAGTAAACCTAACAGAAATGAAGTAACTTYCCTGACACCAAAACTTCTGTGTTTGACTGCATAAGCACTGCACCTACTCTGAGGTAAGGACACAGATCAGTTTGTAYAAAACAAGAAATGAATTCCACTGCTTCAGTAGCAATTCCTAATTCAAAACACTGATAGTCCCTGCTCTCCAGCAGCGGGGTCCTGTTCACATCACAGAATTATTGTAGAATCACACAGAGAAGGAAAGGCTTCAAACTTGAAAGGAGCAAAGGACTAACCTAATAAAACACAGGAATCTCTTCCCAAARTATCCCTAAAGAAACAAGACAGGAAAAGCTAAAATAATCAGTTTCATCTTACTCCCACAGGCAGTGAAAACTTAAACACTGCTAAAAGCASTACCCATATCTGYAGCCAGACTGGGGTCCTTGGCACCAGGGGACCCAACAGAAACCACAGCACTCTGGGATTTGCACCACACACGTCCAAACAATTACTCCAAGAGGTTCACCTTTCACACACATATCTATCTGGGGAAGCAGAACTGCACAGTCACCACCTTCTCCTTATATTCTTTCCTACTTCCTCCCAGGCATTGCCAGCCAGACACTAGCCACAGGCTGTACCTGATGCCCCAGAGCTGCTCTGCAGTYCTACAAATACAATTTCATTTAGGTATCTATATAGTAACAACCTTACCTGTGTTCTGGCAGCTCAGCTGGCTTTATCTGGAAGTCTCCATTCACCACAATTTCGTGTGCCAGTGCCATGTTGGTGACTCCCTTTGCTGTCTCCATGAGCTCTTCTATTGACACAGGCCGAGAAGGACTGGCTGCAACATCAATTACACTGTCAGACAGTTCCCTACAAAAGCCTGCAGAAAAAGTCTTTTGGAACCTTTCCACCCTATTGACAGTACAGAGGGTCAAATGACAGCATCAGCTGAAGCTTTTTCTCTTTTCCTTCCTGTCCTTTCCCATCTGGTGGATGACACAGGTTTGGGGTATTACAAAACACAAAGGAGTGAATCCCAGCTGATATTCTGGGCTCAGAATGTTAATTACTTCTATCAAGCCCTTTTAAAAACCACATCCAAACAAAAGCCCACACCCAAACCAGTACTTCTTTTGGATGGCTTAAGAGCATCTTGGCATCTTTCTCCACACTGTAGGAAGAAATAATTACAAACAGCAGCATTTTCACCACACTACTTCCACAAGTATTGTGCAGATATTGCCATTCCAGTTTTACATTTTTCAAGGAAGTGATTTCATCATTAAAGCAGTCAACAAACAATCACCATCACTGTTAAGCAGCAGCAGCTAATTATTCTCACTATTTCCAATGCAACGGGCACTCCTCCAAAACCTTTTTTTTTTTTTCCCAGAGGCCATCACCCAAGCAACAGAGGACATCAAGACCTAGCCTAAGACCTCTTCCCCTGGCAGGCATTTGGGACTGACCAGGATGGGCCAGCAGACTCAGACTGGAACCTGGGTTAGTGCCTTGATGGATCTATTCCATTAACTTCAACTATTCAGGCATAGGAGCAACATACTAATCCCAAAGTGGAAGAAACCAAGCAGAGATCTTCACAGACTGGAGTCACTGAGATATGTTTTAGGCAAACTATTATTACCATCTCATTTGACCATGCTGATTGGACTTAGGTAATTACACAGAACAAGTCTTTCAAAAGTAAGAGACCATCACTTGTCTACTACTTAGAGCTCTTCTGAGTTTAYACTGTATGGTTCTAATGTGCTAATTTTTCATAAATATCTTGCTCCTTTTATGTAGCCCTCCTAATTTTTATTTCATTTTGCTAGTGACTCTAGGAACACAGTAAGGATTGATATTCTGAGAAGAACCAGCAGACAGCAAAGTTCACAGTGCTCCTGCCYGAGTGCCAAATTACTTCACTCCAGCAGGGGTGCACTACGAGCAAAGACTCTTCCATTGACCAAAGATTGCTCTTAAATCACATTACTTCATTCTCATACCTGCTCCCTTACACGAGAGAAAAGGGCCAGAGACCAAACCACTTCTTTGTGGTACAATGCAGCACAAGGTTTGGCTGATAAGGCAAACAGCAGAGACAGTTTAGCTGAACACACAGAGGTAGTACTTCCAAGAGCATAAACACACCAGGGTATGTAGGATATATATGGCTCAGAGCAATGTGGTCATTGTGTACAATTAAGAAAATGTACACAYTGTGTGTCCAATTAAGAAAAGAAAAAGGAAAATGGGGAGAAAAGCATTACAGTTTCAAGGCATATCCTCAACAGACACATTACACCTAATTGCAGGACAGTCAAAATTGCACAGAATGCTATGAAACACCAGGATTGCCTCCAACAACAATTATAGAATTTACTGGTTTCTTATTGCATTTCATAAAGCAGTTTTGCTTACACTTGGGTGTATCATCCCTTTGTGACCCTGGAGCACTCTGTTGTATTCTTTTTCGGACAGGTTGATCCGAGTTGTCCAAGTTCTCCTCCTGATCATCCTCCAAACCACTCAACTTTTCTTCACTTGAATTCAGCTTGTCAGGATTCTGAGACATTTTCAGTTGATTCTTTACAAAAAGAAAAAAATATGAAAAAGGGAATAAATAAGCATTTTCTGACGTGGCTGAGTGGGTAAGCATCACCAGGAGTCCTCTTAATTAAGAAAAAAAAATAAGAATGAAAGAATTCTTATGAGGAATTACATGACGTCATCCCCCTAATGGCAGGGGAYCTGGACTCAGTGACTCATTTCCCATCTTCCACAAAATGGGATGCTTTCAACACAGCTACCATTTATTTAATCTGCAGTCTTAGTATATTCCCCCAAATCTGAAACTGTTCCCTTGCCAGAACGATACAGGTGAGAAAAAAAGATAYTGTTTTTCTTTGCTAGCATTGCCTCTGAGAGAGCAATGAAAAAYACCTCCAGAACAATATTACAAACATGTTTTGCAAAAARATTATGCTAAATGAGACATTTCTTCACTACACAGCAATAAATCTTCCTGAACATAAYGYATTCTTGAACTATGATCTACCCCAATGCACACAACTTTAAAACTTTCACTCTGAGCCATCCAAAAGCATTAAGAAGCAGGAAAAGAACAGAGAAATTAATATAAATCCTACTCCCATATTTTCATTAATACATTCAAGAGTCCTGATTCATACACAAAATATTACAAGTTTGGGGGTTTTAATTAAGACAGTAAAGAACAGTTATAGTATKTAAAATATTGGTTTATTAGGCATTATGTATTAAAGAATATTTATCTCACATTGCAGATACCTGCAGTGAAGTTACACTGAAAAAATTACCAATAGAAAACCAAGTCCACTGTTCATTATCGTCACTTATTTCATTCTCAGATTTTTCCATAAAGATTGTAATTTCTACATCCACATTGAAAACTATGATGCAGGAAGCTGATGCTCAGACTTTAATTTTACAGAAATCTATTTGAGAGCACATGATGTCTCTAAATTAAATAACCAAGATGTCCTGTGAAGTGGGAGTCAGGAAGAGTCTGCCTTTCAAAATAAAAGAAAGCTCTTGGAAAAGCAGCAACTTCCTCTTTCCTCCAGTATCCCACCATCACCAAGTTCTCAGCAAAAGATACACTCCCCAGAGGCATCTCACAGCTACCAGAAGAAAATATTTACAGCATTAAAAGCTACAATGAAGAGGATGCAGCAGAAGCAAGCAACAGTGCAGAAACATAAAATGCAGCAGTGAGATTTTTTTATTTTCACACAACAGCTGTAATAACTAACCCTGCTCCACCAGTGCTTAAATTGATTGCACAATGTGATTCCACAGSACAGCTGGAAAGCTCAGGGCATATAAGGAACAGTTTTGCTCTACAGCAATGACTCAGGATCATCATCTTGCTCGATGCATGAGAGACAACAGCATGCAACACTTGCCCACAGCACTGTGTCATTTCTATTTTAGAAGAGAAAACAGCACTGAAAGCTTGGGATAAATGAGACAGGAAAACACCCTTGGCACACAGGCATCAGTACAGGTACTGTGAGACTCATTCCACCTCTAGGTGGAACAGAATCTCCAGTGTCCCTGCTCCAGACGCTTGGTCATCTCCCTGTTCACATGCTGGGACAAGGAAGTGTCAGTCTGTCACAGCTGCAGTGACACTGCCAGTCCCAAACCTCGGCAGGGAGAGCCTCCAGCTGGCTGCAACAGCAACCATCCCAACCAGCAGGCAAGTGGGACATGCTCCAGGAGAGCTGGATCTCCTGTCTAGAGGACAAAAGGCCTCTTACTGCAAACATTCCACCAGCAAGAGGATGAGGAGCTCTGTTAATAAAGGAGCTGTTCACAGAGAAGAGCATAACAACCATTGCAATACAAAATATAAAACAGGACTGGGTAAAGAAAGAGGGAAACCTGTTGTAGAATTTGGCTAGGATAAAAGCATTATAAAGGCTCCCACATTCATTCCAGACTATAGACAGTCATTCTTCCTACCTGTTCCCTTCCACAAGGCATCCTCCTGAAGTCAAATCTGTACCACAAAGATTCAACCAAGCCTCACTTAAGTCTTTAATGCACAGAACACTTCCAGTGCCTTGCAATCTCTCACTGTACTTTATCCTCACTACCCTGAGAAAAGCAGAGAAATATACCTCTTATACTGAGGGGAAACTGAGGTTTGAGTTCAGCTGCTTGAGGACACAGAGGACAAATGACAGGGACAACATAATCAGTCTCCTGATTGCTACCCCCAGCTTTGCCCAGCAGGCCATCATTCCTAACACACAGATTACCCTAAAGTCTCGCCTTCCACTAAATGGCAGCTCAAGAATAACAGTCTCAAACCCAGTCCAAGCTTCATTTAATTACCATTTGTTTTCTAAAAAACATTTCAGCTACAGAGGGCAGGTAGAAGAACTCCTGGGCCATTCTACCAAATGACTGCTCAGCAGATGAGGTAAACTGGCACACTTGTTGGTTTAGTTGTTTAGTTTGCAATAGTCTGCTTTTTTTCTCATGGATTACTGCTATTATTTGCCAGAACACATCTAGAACATGTCTGATTCCACTGGGTAAATAAGCTTGACAATACCTCTTCCAGAAGCATGATCAATCAYCTCTCCTTTCACAGAAACAATTCTGACTCTTAATAGTGCAAGTTCTATGTCTTGGCACCTTCCTTCCATTTTCTTTTTTCAAATGTAAGCAGAAAWACAAGAGAAAAATGCAACAAACTAAAATTTAAACAAAACATTTTYCAAGGGTTCTTTTCATTAAAGGTCCTCAAATCATCTGATGTGCACCAGCACTAAATAAACTTCAGTGTGCTCCAGAGCAAGGTTGGAGCAGCTCCTCCTGACTCCCAGAGCTGCCCTGTGTGAGTCTGTATGAGACAGCATCTGAGAGCTTTCCATGAGGCCCAAACACACCAGGCTGCCTTTCCACAGGCTTCACTCCAACGCTGAACTCTCTCCCCTTCCCTCAGTTCACCTGCCACATCACAACCTACTTTCCCTTCTAATCCACCAGCAGGCAAGCTGCAGCCTGTCCCCTGCCTCTTTTCCAAATTAAAAGGGATGCTGTGCAATTCCACCGTTTCCCCTCCGCCTTCTGTTCCGTGTGAGGCCCTCTCATGTCCATCAGCACGGGGAGCACACAGGGCACCGTCCCCATCCCCATCCCCACCCGCTCCAGCCCCGCTTGCCTCGCCACCCCTTCCCCAAGGCTCGGGAGCTGCGGGGTTCATCCGCGGGCTCAAGGGGAAAACGTTCCTGGAGGGGTTGTGGGTTCCTGGGCCGAACGGGGAGCAGGGGAATGCGGTGCTCAGCCCGCCGCCGGGCCCGGAGCCGCCACAGCGCCCGCTCGGTGCTGCCGGGCCCTGCCCTGCCCGCCGCCCCGACCCCGCCGCCCTCAGCCCCGGGCCCCCGGGCCGCCCCCCGGCCGGGCCGCCCCGCCTTACTGCCCTGGGAGCAGCCACCGCGGCCGCCGGCTCGGACGGGCCCGGCCCCTCCTGCGGCCGCGGAGCGGGGCTGGGCCGGCACCGCAGCTCCAGCGCAGGGCGGGCCGCGACGGCTCCGGGGCGGGGCGAGAGCTCCACAGCCCCCGGCACCGGCTGAGAGCTCCTCCGCCCACCGGCAGGGCTGAGAGCTCCACCGCCCCCCGCACCGGCTGAGAGCTCCTCCGCCCACCGGCAGGGCTGAGAGCTCCACCGCCCCCCGCACCGGCTGAGAGCTCCACCGCCCCCCGCCCCGGCTGAGGGCTCCACAGCCCCCCTGCACCGGCTGAGAGCTCCACAGTCCCCGGCACCGGCTGAGAGCTCCACAGTCCCCGGCACCGGCTGAGAGCTCCACGGCCCCGGCACCGGCCGAGGGCTCCACAGCCCCGGCACCGGCCGAGGGCTCCACCGCCCCCCGCACCGGCTGAGAGCTCCGCCGCTTCCCGCACCGGCCGAGGGCTCCACAGTCCCCGGCACCGGCTGAGAGCTCCACCGCCCCCCGCCCCGGCTGAGGGCTCCACAGCCCCCCTGCACCGGCTGAGAGCTCCACAGTCCCCGGCACCGGCTGAGAGCTCCACAGTCCCCGGCACCGGCTGAGAGCTCCACAGTCCCCGGCACCGGCTGAGAGCTCCACCGCCCCCCGCACCGGCCGAGGGCTCCACGGCCCCCGCACCGGCTGAGAGCTCCACAGCCCCCCGCACCGGCTGAGAGCTCCACCGCCCCCCGGCACGGGCTGAGAGCTCCACCGCCCCCCGGCACCGGCTGAGGGCTCCACAGTCCCCGGCACCGGCTGAGAGCTCCACCGCCCCCCGGCACCGGCTGAGAGCTCCACAGCCCCCCGCACCGGCCGAGGGCTCCGCCGCCCCCCGGCACCGGCTGAGGGCTCCACAGTCCCCGGCACCGGCTGAGGGCTCCGCCGCCCCCCGCACCGGCCGAGGGCTCCACCGGCCCCCGCACCGGCCGAGGGCTCCACAGTCCCCCGCACCGGCCGAGAGCTCCGCCGCCCCGCAGCACGGGCTGAGAGCTCCACGGCCCCCCGCCCCGGCCGAGGGCTCCACGGCCCCGGCACCGGCCGAGGGCTCCACGGCCCCGGCACCGGGCTCTCCCCGCCCGAGGGGCCGTGAGGAGCCGCTCTCCGCGGCACCCAGAGGCACGAACAGCCCTCAGAGAGCGCGGGTTCGCCTCGCTGTAGCCGAGCCAGAGCAGTCCCGACCCCAACCCGAGCCCCTCACAGCCCTCACCGGGCTCGGACAGCGCTGGGTCTGCCCCCTCACACAGCGCCGATTCGGATTAACTCCCCAGCAAGCAGGGAAAGCAACCCTAGATCCCTTACACAGTCACAGTGTGACCGCTCGTCCCTCTACAGAGGAAGCTGAGGTGCTCTCAGAGGAGCTAGATCACGATGAAAACAGCGTGCAGCCCCTGCCCCGTTTGTCCCTCCAGGCTGCTATTTTCCCCTCCAGGCTGCTGTTTTTCCCCTCTAGGCTGCTGTTTTTCCCCTCCAGGCTGCTGTTCCCGAACGCAAATTTGGCCCCCAGAGCCAGCCCAGTGACTCACAGCGCCGGGGATCTGTCATTCGGGATCTGTAAATCTCTGCAGCAGGCCATGCCCACAGGCAGCCGCTCATTTTCCAGATAGGAATCTCAYCCTCTTAACCGTGAGGCAGGAGGTAAAAAAAGGGAAAATACTTCTGCTGAAGAGCGAGCCAATCCAACATCACCACTAATTTAGGATTTCCACCCCCACATGAGCTAAGCCAATTTTCATGAGGAAGTGCACCTCTCAGCTAAAGCTAAGAACTATAAAATATAACTACTAAAAAAGGGCTTAGTTTTCAGTAACTGATTATTATTAAAAGTCCTTTTTAATTGACTAGAAGCTTTTTACATCTTTGTCTTCCATCCCCCATCAAGGCACAGTAAAACATTGTCCTGTTGCACACCAACTTCAGCTCYATTTCAGAGAAACACTCTGGCCCCCGGCAGCAGACACCACTAATGACAAACTRACACAGGACTGTGCTTTTAAAGAACAGCTCACCACATGTGACTAGTAATAACTGCTTCACTTTGTTGTSATAATTAAATTAGCTTTTGTTCCCAAATAAAAGAACAGAGCTCAACCCTTAAAATAGAACAAAATTTGCTACTTTTTTCCAACAGCAGCTGTAATGAAGTTTTGATGATGTAATTCCAAAGATAACGCCACAGGAGTCAAAATCAGATTGYTAATCATGCTTTATATATATAAAGCTTGCAGTTGCCTGTGTTGCAAATACTGGGACTTCCACTGCAGACCAGACACGGATAAAAAAATGCCACAAGAACAGCCAAAGGCCCTTCACTGACTCCAGCACTTCTCTAATTACAGCTGGTGCCATCAGTAAGAGTYACAGACACAGCAAAGCACCATAGGGATGAAGACAACCAGCCACAAAGAAAAGATTCTGTGGCAACCAAAGCCAGACTGACTTAAAAATCCAGACTGACTTCACCAATCCCAGGAGGGCCAATTCCTCAATACGCTGCCATTTGAGGTTGAAACAGCACCTTAATTTGTCACACACATATAGARGATAGTTAGCTGGTAAGCCAGAAGAAAAGCTGTGCAATATCAAGCAGAACATGTTTTTCAGCTCTGTCCAGCACACAGCAAGTCAAAAAATCAATGCTATGTGACAGTCTCATAATCCAAGGCAAATTAGAAAAAGAGTGTTCTAAGAGTGTTCCAAGGCAAATTAGAAAAAGAGTGTTCAGCATAAAATTCAGTGCTGGGGCAAAAGGTGGCAGAGAGATCTCATTTGTGGTGTCTTCCATCTCAGAGATTTTGCTGCTTGAAGAGAGGGAGTCAACAGACTTGGCTTTTGGGGARGAAAAGTAAGAATTATTTTGGTCCTACAGCAATTAAGAATGAGAAAAGCTAAACTCAGAACTGTTGGCTTTGGTAATAATTGCATAAATTCTATCCATTTCCACAAAATAATTTTATTAGGCAGATACATGAATATAAAAGATTTACAAATATATTAGTGTTTTCAATGCTGGGGTATACAAATTGATCCATAAAATCTCACACACACATGTTAGTAACTCTGTCTCCAAAATACTGCATAAAAATACTTGGATTACTACTATGAAACTGACCTAGCAGCCTCTTTCTCTCTTTGTCAGAGAGCTTTGAATCTTCATCAATAGCTTTCAGCAGAGATAATAGCTCATCTTTCGTGGTTTTCTCCGTGTTGGAGCGATACTCTCTTTCATCAAGCTTTTGGCAAAAGGTATAACCTGAAAGGAAACATGAGACCCTCAGAGGATCATCACCAGTCCCACCCTTCTTTAGATCAAATCAGCCATTGTTACAGCAAGTCTTTTTTTAATCACCAATTTCTCATTTGGGGGTATGACAAGACGAAAAAGCCCAGTTTGATGAATTACCTGTTATCTTAGTGGGATCCTGGCCTTTCTGCAGAGCCAGCAGTTTATTGCTGACCATTTTGTGCAGTGCCCCTGGGATCTTGAACAGAAAAAGGACAATGCAACAGCAGCTTAGAAAAGGCATTTCTGTACCAGCATCCAAGATAACCAAAACCTGGCCATTTTCCAGCTCTTACCTTTAACACATCTCTTTGGTTGTCCACAAGGAACAAGATCAGGAGGTCCGTTTTCCCTCTGGATAAGTTTTTATTGTTGATAATAGCTTTAGAGAATGTTCTTTTCACAACCATCCTGTTGTCACTCTGAAGAACAAAGTGAAATAATGATCAAAAATGGATAGTTCATCTCCCCCATTAAGAAGGGTACCACCTTTGTTCTTTTGAGTCATTGCTTTGACTGTAGTGACTGATTTAAGCTACAAAAGTGTTTTCTCACCAGTACCTGGGACCTCTGGATTTCAGTAAATGTAAAGCAACTGCTAAGAATTCACACTTACGTCCTTCTGTAGCTTGAGCTCAGAATGGTGTGCTGCAACAGCCATGAAGTACAGCAGCCTCCTGAACTCCTCCCTGACYTGGCTGTCGAGGAGTTTCAAATAGAGTTGGACAGCTTCTAAAGATTGCTCCATCTTCCCATTCACTGAGGAGAGAGAAAGGTATCTATTGGCATATTCGTTTAAATAAATTTTACAGTAAAATACCGAAATTAGCTGCTGAAGAGATGCCCATTTCTCTAAACAGAACTGGCCAAACACAGCAATTCATTCTCACAAAAACTTCTCCCAGGCTGATGAGAACTGCTTACAGACTCTCTAACAACATCCCACACACAGGCTTTCAGCCTGACATTTAAGCTCCCTTGTAATTAAGTTCAATTACAGTTCAGCCATCTTGACTGGGTTGAGAAATACTGAAAAAAGGAAATTGGTTGTATTAAAGGAAAAAAATGAATGACCTATTGTTGTGCTAATAAAAATCTCCCAAAACCTGAGTAATATGTCCTAGATACAAGGGGTAGTTTGATGAATTAATTGCAAACCACTCTGTAGATCTTTGCTAAATTTTAATTTGCCTTACTATGCAGAATAGCCATTTTAGATGTGTGAATTATTTAAATGCAGCAGGTTTTAATAATATCCTTTATCACGTAGAGAGGAAGAATGGGATATAAATGCAAAATATTCCAATGAACGTGGAACAAGGAGCATAATCAAGGCAGAGAACTATGGAAAATAAGGAGATCTAGGATGAAATGTTAATTGAGGACTAAAACATCAAAAACTTTCTAACATGCTGTCTAAACAAAATTCAAGAAACATTTCTGCATAAAATAGTAAAAGTTGTGAATGGGGTACAAAGCATTCACACAGCTTTCAGTTTAGCTCTAATAGCCTAAATATTTACTATTAGGCTATATTTATATTTCCCAAGGAAATCCAACTTCCATGGATACCAACTAATACCAAATTACAGCACTCTGGTTTCACACCCATTCTGTATGGACCTGAACAAAGATTTCAGAACTGTATACAGTTAGAACCAAAATGTCAAAGAACAGTCTTTATGACTAAAAAAAAAACCAAAAAAACAAAACAAAAAAAACAAAAAAAACCCAATCAAATAAACCTCAAAGAAAACAAAAGCAACAAAAAAAAAAGAACTTGCAGAAGCCAACCTTTAATCTTGGCTCCTGAAGCAAATACGCATTTTCTCAGTACATATCTCACACAATCATTGGAACACAGCTCTAATTTACTTACCTAATAGTTCTGCAATTCCTAAATGAATTTCAGACGCATGGCTTAACAGCGGCTCCTTCCTTTGGCTGTAGTATCTCCCAATATTTTCAAAAAGCAGCAGTTTCCAGCTATCTGCTTTATCCGGCTGATCAGGCAGGTTCCTGCTGATATCTACCACCATATAATCTGGAAGATATTCCAAGCAATCTATTGCTGCCGAGAGCCACTCATCTGTCCTGGAAAACAGAAGGGTTCAGGTTTGTAGCATTAATTGTGGATTAAAATTGAGAGGTGGCTGCAATGCTTTCCACAGAAAGCAGGTAAACTGGTTCCTCCATCACAGTGAAAACTGCATGTGTAGGCACTCGAATCATTTCACACACACAAAACACTTCACCTGACACACTCAGGTAGATCACAGTCATAAGCCTTTTTTGTTATGTATTTAATCAAGATGAAAAATTAGTAACCCACAAGTAAACAGTCRCAAGCAGTAAAACCCCAAGTCAAACATGTCCTCTACTGTTAGATAAGGACACAATTATCRCTGGATAAACAGAAACATGAACATTGATCTGATTCAGACTGGTACAAGTTTTTCAGAGAATGTTTTTAACTCTATGCAGTTTCAAGCTCAGTGTTCTTAACTCTTAATACACTAGGGAACTAAAYGAGTTCCTCACGAGTAATGTCTCTAGGAAAAACTTTCATGATGATTATAAAACYTCTATTCTTCCCTCAACTAAACAAGTTTCCCTCAACTTCTTCTTCCCTCAACTAAACATGAACTAAACAAGTTCCTCACAAGTCCTGTCTCTAGGAAAARCTTTCATGATGATTATAAAACYTCTATTCTTCCCTCAATGCAGCAAAGAATTTCCCCTCTGAATACCATCAAATACTCTCATTGCATTCAAAAACCATCTCAGTGTTCAACAGAAATTCTCATTAAGCAGTTGTTATTTACAAGCTATCCCAGTCAAGTCCAACAGGGAAAAAAGTGCCTCCTCACATCCTTTCTGCAGGACTGAAGCTAAAGCTTTTACATTCCCCCAGAAAAGCAGAAAGCTTTTCAGCAATGAATACTTACTGTGAGTCACTGAAAGCCTTGAGAATCTCCCTGTCCAGGTAGTTACTTGTGATGACATATCCAGYTGCTTTCCTGGGCTGTGGAAGCTGAGGTCTGATCTCCTGGTGCTCAAGCAGAGACTCCAGCAGAGGGAGGTCCACCAGCTGCAGCAGGCGAGCGATTGTTTGTTCTTGCCACACTTCATTAATAACTGGGAAGGRTGGATACACAGAGCACATGGAGAATCAGCATGTGCAAGAACTGATTGGAGAACAGATAACTCCCCTTCCGCCCATCGGGCCTAACCTGGCAGATTAATTTTACCAAAATAGAGACTTGCAGTAGCAAAGCATGGGGCTCTTATCAGCTTTAAGTCCCTTTTATCACCACAAAAGGCAAGAATTACCCATTTGTTTAGTTAACTACAAGTGTGGGAGAACTGCTTTTYGGATAAGTCTGAAGTGCCTTACACTCTGTGCTCTAATTTGCAAACAATCTTTGTTCTAGATAAGGCATGAAAAAAAAAGTACAACTGTGACACTCTCCTTATCACAGCTTCTTTGATTATTTCCGTGTGATGAAACCACGGTTTCTAGAATGCATTAGCACTTTTAACCWAAGGACAAAACACATTAGATCATAGTATAGTCTGAAAGAGAARACTTGAATTGTCAAGAATAGTTTCACACAATGCTGAAGGAGTGCTGGATGTGCAGATACACAATCCAAAAGCTAGGGAGGACTTCTAGCTGACAGCAAACTATTTGCCCTGACTGAAACAAGCACWAAAGGAGTGCAGAGAACTGAGTATTCTCAATATTCATAACTCAAATCAAGCTCTATACATTAAGTGTTCTTCTCTACAAAAATCAACCCTATTTTTTTTTTTTTCAATCAAGAGACAATGCCGCTGTCTAATGAAATGAAAAGGCAAAAGGCAAGCCTGCAACAAATATAATTTGCCTTTTCATGACATCGTGCTCAAACCAAAATACTGTGAGTGTCAGTTTGTCTTCCTCTCCAGCCTGAGGGGTGCAAGTCTTTCCAGTCCAACAGATGTACCTTCCTTKTCCCACAAACAAATAATAGTGACATTCTCTGGCTTACCTCGATGGGATAAACGATCTGAGATGTTTATTCGAGGGCTATTTGCAGGCTTTAGGCTCAGGTTTTCCCAAAGATCCTCCAAGCTTTCTGGTTTGAATTGCGCAGAGTGGAACAACGTGCTCTTCTCATATCTGAGATTAAAAACAGTTTTTATATATATTTATATCCATATATATAACTGACCAAACATACCGTGCAATGTATAGATATGGGTAACTGTCCCAAGAAGAAAAATTTTTTCCTACATAGATATTTACATAATCTTCCCCCTCTTCTCCCTGCCTGACACTGTCTCTGTGCAAGTCACCCAGGAGAACATATGAACCTTCAAAAATTATGTGCATGTACAGCTGCATGCTCAATTCCTCTCACRAAACTTGTCACAGCCAGCATCAGCAGGCTGCTTCCACCACCACAGAGAAAACTGAGGAGGAAGGGAAATTATTTTTCAAAACCCAAACTAAATTCCTCCCTTCAAAACCTCCAGAGATTTTATACATTATCCMTGAAGGTGAAGTGATGACAAAAGTTAAGAGCTGTTCTTGAAAAACCTGAGAGGTGATTGCTGTGTAGTTATGGGGTTTGTTGATGCCACCAGCCAAGGGAAGACTGTCCCTCTTCTGTGCATTGGCCAACTCTTCTCACAAATGCTTTCACAGGCTGTCAAGTAGGCACATAACCACTCCAGCCACAAAATTACTGTTCCTCCACGTGTAGCTGTATAATTTCAATTCCCACAGCTTGTTTTAGGGCACTACAAGATCTTTTTGATGTCCATTATCTTTGACGTGGATGTGACAAGCTGCATGTATCAATAGATATATTCCTTTCACAAATGCAGAAATGCAACTCAATGGATCTGTGCCCTACCCAAAASAACAACACCTTCAATTCTACAGTAATAAAACAGAAATAATCCTCTTTAATGACTGCTTGTCCAATATATTCTAAGTCTCATTTTAACAGCTCCTTGTGATGAAAGTATTTTAAAATACCGCACATAATTAAAGTGGCTCTCATTTCTAATGAATTCTCTTTTTAAATAAAGACTTGAGGCAGTTTGCCTTAGTACAGAACAAGAGCTAGCAGGAGAGAGGGGASAAGCAGGACAAAGGAAGTATTCTTAATCTCTCTTGCTCTACTTTTCCCATCAGGGTTGATGCACTAAATTCACATTTGCTACTCTCATGAACATGTCAATTGAAAAAGGCACTTCCTTTTTGGGTCAATACTATTCTCAATTTTCAAAAGAGCACATTGCTAAAACTACTGCATTAAATACATCCAATGTAGCTTCTTGTAAGAGTATGTCACAATAGGTGTAGAGATGAACACTCAACAAAAACTGTTTAAGGGAAATTATTTGTCAAAGTGGCATCTACATGTTCTTATTTGTGAGGATTTAGTTAGCAGCAGGGTTTTCTTTGCCCTCTCCTAAAGAAGCAGGGAAACAAAACAAAACCTCACCACTGCACTTCCCTCTGGTTCTAGGATGGTGTGCAATAACAGCACAACAGCCTGCTGCCCTGCATGGGAACAAGTCATACACGCATAAAGAAAGAGGTAAAAAAAAAGCTAAATATGAAGTGTAGTGAAGATGATGAAAGGAGAAAATAATTTTTCCTTAGAAGTTGCATGGATTACTGGTTTATACCAGAGCTAGATGTGCAGTGACTAAAGACTGCCCTGTTGCATTAGSCTGTTTGATGCACCTGAATTCCAGTTGGTTATACTGATTTATATCAATATGTAAAATGCACTTAATTTCTACYCTGTTATCTCTGTCCCTCAAGGCGATGTGATTACAGAGAAAACAAGTAACCATGCAGGCTGAATGATTTACACTATTCAAATTGCTRTTTCCTACCTGTCTTCCACCCACAAACATCTRTGTAKTGTCTATTTTTTCCCCTGTAAATGYACAACAGTTTTCTCTCCACCAGAACACACAAGATTTTCATCCCATAAAAAAAAAAAATCACTAACCTCTGTGGGGTACACTGCTGGTAATCTTTCTCAGGCTCTGGCTGGGTGGAGGAATTTGTGAATCTGTAGAGGCTGCTGCTGCTGTCCTCAAACACAGAGCGTTTGTCTTTGCCAAAAACTCTCGTGGAGACAGCCTCRAACACTTTGTAATCCATCAGCGCCTGGCACACGCGCACGATCTTCGCCCGGGAAATATCCACATCCCCAAAATACTTGTTCTGAAGAAGATGGGCAAAGACAACATCCACAGCATCCGAACCAATGAAGCAGTCGTGGTAACACTTCAGGTTCTGGCGGCGCTTTTTCACTTCCACTTGAGTTTGAAGAGCGCTGATAATGCTGCTCCAGACGTACGTGGCTCCAAAGGGCTTCTGCGCCAAGCTAAAGCCTRAGAACAGAGACAAAGCCTGAATTCATGCTCCAGTCAGAAAGAACAGCSCCTTTCTGGCTTCTAGATTTCATGAATCTTGTAAGGATTTAAAAATCTTTGAGGCTTCCACTTAATGCTCAGGCATTAACACTTTGTGACTTTTTTTGTAAGCCTGTCTGCTCTGTACCAGTGCCTCTGGTGGTTCCTCTCACTACATCAGCCTAAAGCTTTGCAACCAGGAGTTCCTGTTTTGTCAGCCTCTCACTCTGACACTGCGTTTTTGTGTGTCCCTCAATCACCTAATGGTTACACCTGCAGAACTGCTGCTAAGCACACCTGTCCCACAAACACAAACCAGCTGGATGTACTTGTGACTCCCCCATTCCTCCATCAGCACTAACACAGCATCACAGCTGGGCAGGAAGAGGGAAGCAAAGATGAAGAGACACAGTAAAGGATTGTGTTTACACACAAGCCACCTAACCTCAGTGCTTAGCACATCCCTAACAAGTCCCTGGATTCCCTTGGGACACCACTCCCTCTCACTTGTCCCGCCTAAAAATCTTCAGCCACCACGGCTCCAGCSAGACCTCAGCTCTGTGCACCCAATGCCACTTCCTTGAGCCAATCTGKCCTCCCTCCCCCAGTGAAACCACTGAACTATTACTCATTTACCAGCCTGATTAGAAGAAAATGCCAGCAGCCAACAGTTTGACCTGAGGCTACACTCAGTCTCCACAAGGACTTAAAAATACACAAAGTTTGCAGGTGGTACCAAACTGGGGAGAGCTGCAGCCACCAGAGAGGCTGGAATTAGAATATGTTTCTCAGCAAGTCAGATGAATAATTTACTAAGAGGGAAAGTAGAAGAAGAAGAGAGAAATAAAAAAGCTAAAGGACAAAATATGGAATGAGGAGTTGGCAACAATCCAACAGAAAGCCATCTGGGATTGTGACAGACCTCAAACCAAATGAATTAACAGTGTGATGCAGTGTTTGAAAAAAACAACAACGTGCAACTCCTGGAACATATTACTGCGARCACTTCCCACAGACGTGCAGGGGGTGTTTTTTCCTGTTCTGTTTAGTCTGAAGTGGCTTTACTTAGAGAATTGTATTCCAATTTGGGGCACCAGTTTTCAGCTGATCCCCAACTATCAGAGAGCCAGAAACCAGCAAGTTAGCAGTGAGAAAAGGAAAGGTAGGGAGTCAGTAAGACTAGGAGGGAAAGCMGAGAACAAAATACCATTTGAACACGCCAACATTTAAGAAGAACAGCAACAGTTATCTTTCTGAAAAGATCCATGCCATGGGGATAAAACCCGACAAAAAAAACAAAGCAGCTTTTTAACACACAGCATTGAACCCGCCAAGGCAGAACTCTCCCAGAACCAGTTTCCAGAGCTTTAAAAGCACAAGACAGACAAGGTACACAACTGTTGATACTTTAACCTGATTACATCTTCACGAMGGCAGAACAAACACAATGAACAGAGTTCGCTTCCAGCCCTACATTCCAATAGCCAATGAGGCTCTTTGAGAGGGGAAAAAAACCCCAAATCTGACACCACCAAACATACAACACTGACTTCTCTTGCTAGAATAAATACCAACACATACAACCTGCAATGCTTTAGCTACTACCCACAGCTTCATCACCTCTTTCTTACATACACAGAACATTCAAATCTTTTCTGGGGGAAAAGGTACTAAGCGAGGCATTAAGGCTGCAAGTTTCCACAAGTTAAGGTGTTAAAGATAGGGAAAGAAAAAGAGCAAAACCAATTCCCAGCGAGAGCCCATTCACCTCTCAGTCTGCGCTAACGAGGCACCTGCTCTTAACCCGCCTTGGGAACGTGGAGCTCTCCCTGGCACCAACCCCGGG